TGCCTTCTGGGGAACCAGCAGTTAGCGTAATGGCTATGTCACTGGACTCCCACGTAGTCGACCACGGTTCGCGTCCCGGACCCGGTGGCTTAAAACTCACGCCGGGCGCGTGTGCGTGCATGCCCAAGATCCCGAGAGGAGAATGGAGGAGAAGGGATTGCGGCGTGACCATCCCCCCTGGGGGGTGATTTCTCGCTTTCTGTCTCTATGTCTCTCTCTGTCTGTCTGGCGAGCGCACGCGCCCTATAGCAAAAAATCTCTCCAAAAAAAAAAAAAAAGATATATGCCTTCTGCTGTTCACAGTATGGTTGTCCGTTTACAGGAAGGAAAGCCAAACCCTGGAAAACAATTTCCGTGAAATCCTATTTTTGATTGAACAAATCGATGTTCTGAAGGCACTGCTTCGAGACATGAAGGAGGGTATGTACAATTCCACCTGGGATGCCCATGGAGACGCTGCTGAGCACCAGGACAGCGTGGAGGTTCTCGATGAGGCAAGGTGGTGGGCACTGGGCAGGCCATGGGCGGACGGATCTCTTTTTGGGGCCACAGTCCACCAGTTCTCCTAGTGAGAAGCTAGTGCTGCTGATACTTGGCTTGTGTCTTCCTTAAAATTCTGACCTAAAAATCGCTTTCTTTCACGAGAGCTTGCCCCGGGTACCCACTTAGTTCTAAACACCAAGTCACAGAGAGAACATGGTATTGGAATACAGCTGACTTCCCGCCAACATCAGTAACCGACTTTGTTTTATTTTCCAGTAAAAATGAAAGATCAAAAACAAAAGATCATTCAGAAATGGCAGTCTCTGGTTGCCTCTATTCAAATGCTTAAATAGCACAGACTTTTATTCACCGCCTTTGTCTCTAGTGTGTTTGATCCCACCGAAACCAGATTTGGGGCAAAATTGTGATGGAAACCAACAAGTTTTGTTTGCTTCTACCTTATTGCTGCCAGCACTGCCTTTTCTCCTTCCTTACTCCCTACTTTCTGAAATGTACAGAAACCTACACAGGAGACCTTCTGCTTGTTTGTCTTTGTCATCGTGTCAATATATTATAGTTAGACAGCAAGAAGGCAAACAGTTATCTGGCTAAGGACACTTGCTTATTTTTTTCTTTTAAGTTTTAAAGGATCAGAGCCTCCTTCAGAACCTAATATCAATTTAAATGGAAGAAAAAAATGTCTAATATAAGCAACTGTGTGGTCTGCATTATTCCCAGATAACCATAGAATGCTCAAGTCTTTATCGCTAAGCAAAGAACATGCCTGAAAGAGGGTGGCAGTGTGCAAGCGCAACCTCCTTTTGTGACCTACTGGGCAAGCTCTGTGATGTAGTCTCAGGGCATCTAAGGGCCTGGGTCCTCCTAGCTGTACTACCTGTGTAATCTCCTGAACGCATCGTAGCTTAAGCTCCCCACGGGCTCCACACAGCCATGAGGATGACATTCTGCATCTGCCCATTGTTATTATTACTTTGCAGATTAGGAAAGTTAGGGCCAAAGCAATAGAGTTAGTGGTCAAAACTCAAGCAGCCGGTAGAGAGAGTTAACAGAAAATTGTTTTTAAAATTTGTACAGGAAATGTCGAACTTGGTAAATTACGTACTCAAGAAGGTGAGAGAGGACCAAGTCCAGATGGCTGATTATGCCCTTAAGTCGGCTGGTGAGTAGAGGAAAAGTGCAAAATGAGCATAAAAAAGTGGATGCTTCCAAGAGTGTCTCTACTCTGTATTTTTCCTTATTAGGGAAACATTCTTGTCTATCTGGTAAGTCAAGGAGGGCAATTAATAGATCTAGAAAATAAAGAAGAGAATAGTACGGTCGTCGTTGATTTCTTACTGAGTGCAAATCTTAGAGGGAACAAAATCTGTGCAACTTCTTAGGCTGCATCTAGAAAGAGCACAAAGAAAGGTGAAGTGCCACAGCCAAGTTGGGAAATGCCAGAAATATTGTAAGCATCATAAATGCAGAAATGTAATGTTAGTATATAATTATTATTATACACTAAAATTACTTATAATAACTACTCTAAATGCACTATTAGTGATTGAATGACAGTGTCTAACCTGTATATAAAGTAAAATTCTTAATGTCTTCCAATGATATGAATCCTTAAGGGCTCAGGCTGTGAATCATTGACCTTACTTGTCTCTGCAGTGCTCCGTTGTAGTAGTCTATGAACAGAATGTGTTCAGGGTACAAGATGGAAGGGAGGGAGGAAGGAGGCATGGTGCATGAGGAGAAAGAAAACAGAAAGCTCTTAATCAACCGGCAGTCGAATTTATGCTAGGGAAATACATTTGTTTGTTGCATGGCCTGGAGAACATCTGGACCACGATGATTATTCAGTTGTGTGTGTGTTTTGAGAGTGACCAAGAGGACAGAACTTTCTGGAGCCTGATTCCAGAAGCATGGAAACGTGCATTTCAGATAAGATGTTAGACAACCAGAGTTCTTCTCCCTCCCCCCCTTTTTTTTTCCTGTCTTGGCATTCTATTATCCATTGTTTTGTTTATTTGTTTGTTTTGGCTATAGGGCACATGTACTTGCTAGAGAAAGAGATAGATACAGAAGAGAGAGAGAGGAAAAGTGAGAAATCAGTCCCGTAGGGGTGACCATGCCACAGTCCCTTCTCCATTATCCTCTCTGGATTTTGGGCATGCACCCACAGATGCCTATGTATTTTGCAAGCTGCTAAATCTGGGACTGAAACCACACAGTTGGCCATGTGGGATCCCACCACCTTTGCCACCGCACCACCTGACTGACCTCCTATTACACATTTTTTTAAAGTTTGTTTATTTTATGAGAGAGAGGGAGTGAGTCACCTTCAACAGGGTCTCTTGCTTTGGTCCACTCCAGCCAGTTAGGATCAAGGGGAACACCACCTGAGCTCAGGTGTGCAGATTGACCAGAAAATGAACCTCGATCTTCTACATGGATCCAGCACTGTGGATCAGTGCACCATGACTGTACCACTGCAGCGGGGCCTCGGTTGGACTTCCTTCATGCCATCTTTCTTCTTTTCTATTGAGTGTATTTATAACTTTCGTTTTGAAAAGCTTATGACAAATGTAGATCTTTAGTCATCTCATATAAAGTAATGAAAAACAGAAGACGTTCTAACTTTTCAACTACTTTCAGAATGAAGACACATCAGCTTCTGGTTTGGCCGAGCTATTGAAATCCCATTTTAATCTCTCACTCCAACTGATTGTAAGGAAAAGGCTGGACAAAATTTAAAAAGCAATTATGTGAGTGTGATGAAAGTAAACAAAAGCAGACAGATGGTAAAGGAGAATCAAAAGCTATAGATGTGTGCTGTGTGGAGTGAGTTTCTTTCTTTCTTTCTTTTCTCTATTCTCATAGCTTAGACTGAAGCAGGCTGTAATTACAGAGCCAAAAACAGTGACAGGGGAGCGAACAGCTAAAATTATGAAGGAAACCCTGCTTTTCCAGCCAAAGAATCAGAATAAAATAGTCTTATGTGCTAGAGAGCATGCGGAATTGGAACCACCACCCACAGATAAAGAGAGAGGACTTGTCTCATCATCTGATGAAGCAAGTAAAAACATTCCGTAGGAAATGGTTACAGGACTCAGAGTCTCATAATGTCCAGTAGGTCTAGGGTGCAATTCAGTTTCTCAATATGCAAAGTCCTAGGAAGAGGAGACAAATTTCTAAAAGAAAAAAAGATGGCTAAGAGATTCCCACCCGGGACCAGCAGGTGGCATGGTGGTTAAGGTGTTGGACATTCCCACGTGGCCTACCACAGTTCGAGTCCTGAACCTGGTGGCTTGCTTTCTCATTTTCCCTCTCTCTCTTCATGTGTGTCTCTCTCTGGTAAAATTAAAGTAAATGAACTGGGGGGAAGCCAGGCTCCTCTCCCATTACTAAGCATGGACTGAGTAGTGGCTCCAGCAGTACGAAGATGAAACCTCAAGGGAAGCCATCATCTCTTATGAACCCTTCTTTAAGTAAACCAAACATATCCCCCTCTCATTCAAGGCCAACTAGGGCTTAATTAATAGAAGGACAATGACAGAGAAAAGAAGTAACGAAATTGAAGATAGATCAATGGAAATGAGCCAATACAAACTAAGTGGTGTGTGCAAAAGTGTATTATTATTATTATTATTATCCTTTAATTTATAAATATTGTCTATATGTACTCTTTAAAATGTAGAAATTGTTGGGCTGGCCTGATATCCTAGTGATTAAGGGAGCAGATCCCACATGGCCAACTGCAATTTGAATTCTTGCTCTGGCAGCTTAAAACACATGCTAGACACTGGTGTATGTGTGCCCCAAATACCAAAATGGCAGAGAAATGAAGGAGAGGGGATTATGGTACGAACACATCCCTTGTGGAGGTGCTTTCTCCTTGTCTCTCTCTCTTCTCTCTCTCCCTTCATTTTTCTAGTAAGTGCACACACCCTCTGGCAAGCAAAAAAAAAAGAAAAAAAGGACAGTAGGAAATGTTTTACAATTCTAATAATAAACATATCATAAAAATAGAGAATAGAAAATATTTGAAAAAAAAGAACAGCTTTAGAAACATATACAATAGTATAAAAAGATATAATATTTTAATCCTTGTAGTCTCAGAGAAAGATGAGGGGATCAATGCAAAAACTAATACGGAGAAATAAGGGCTAAAAGTGTCTCCAATTTGTTTAAAAAACATGTTTACAGATTTAAAAAAATGCAGCAAGTCAGCAACAAAATAAGTTTAAGGACACATCCATGCACATATTAAATTGCTAAAAACCAAAGATGAGGAAGAAAGTCCAAAGCTATAGGGGAAAACTCATATATTACATATAAGAGAACAATAATTTAGATAACAGAGTTTGCTTGTATGTGTGTGTGTGTGTGTGTGTGTGTGTGTGTGTGTGAAACATGAAGGAAACCAGAAGAAAAAAAAAAAAAAGGAACTACATCGTTTTGTTTGTTTTGTAGGCTTTTGCCATAGGGCATGTGTACTCACCAGAGAGACAAAGACAGAGGGAAAGTGAGAAAGCACCCACCAGAAGGGTATAGCCATGCTACAATCCCTTCTCCTCCATTCCCTCTTGGGATTTTGGGCACACACGAACATGCGCTTGGCATGATTTTTCAAGCTGCCAGGTCCATGACTTGAACTCTGGTCAGCCATGTGGGAGTTCAGTACCTTCACTACCATGCCACCTGCTGGCCCCAGGAATTATATTTTTAAAGTGCTGAAGGAAAGGAAATGGCAATGTGGAATTCTAGATCCAGCAAAGATAACCATCAGTAATGAATGTAAAATGAAGACAGACGTTCTTAGACGAAGGAAAATTGAGAATTCTTTGCCAATGAAGTTGCTAAAGGAGTTCTTCGACTTGGAAGAAATTACACCACAAATAAATTTGAGACTTCAGTCTTGAAGAAAAACAGATAAGATAAATGTGTGAGTAAATAAGAGGTCAAAGTTCTTTAAAATATGTATGACTGTTGAAAGAAAAAAATGTGCCATTATCTGGTAATGACTTTCTTTTTTCTATTTATTCCTCCTGAGGCATATGTGCTTGCCACACACACACACACACACACACACACACACACACACACACAGCAAGCACTCCCAATGGCATGTGGTCTACCAAAATCCTTGTTACTCCATTTCATCTTCCCGTCGAATTTTGAGTACACCTGCACACACGCTCAGCATAGTCTGCAAGCTGGCAGGGTCAGGACTCCAACCATGTTTACCATGCAGACTCAGCTCTCTACACAGTTCTTAATTGCTGAACTTCAGAGTCAATCTATCTGGTGATACTTTAATATATGTAGATATAATATATATGTAGATATAATATCATGACAACCAGCAAAGTCAGTTGGGAAAGGGCGAAAAGATCTCTATGTTTGAAAAGACTTTATATGAAGTGGTAAAAAATATTAACTCTAAGGGACCAGTAGATGGTGTAGCGTTTATATCACTGGACTTCTACATGGCTGACCACAGTTCAAGTCCGAGACCTGTGGCTTGAAACTTAACTGGGTATATGTGCATGCATGCCCAAGATGCTGGAGGAAGAAGGGATTGTTCATTTCCATTCTCTTTGGGGTGTGATTTCTCACTTCCCTCTTGCTGTCTCTGTGTCTCTCTCACTCCAGCAAAAATTCACACTCTAAGGCCAAAACCTCTAAAAGAAAACATGAACTGAGAAAATTCTACATGAACTGGTAACAATTACATGTGCGCATTATACTCACCAAACAACCACTACAAAAATAAATTCAGAGATATATAAACCCCATAGGTAAATTATAATGAAATTTAAAAATTAAATGAATAGCTCAGCCCATTGACACAGTGGTTAGCACTGTGTATTGGGATTTGTATCCCACATGGCCAACCACAGTTCAAGGCCCAGTCCTACCGGCTAGAAAGGCATGTTAGGAGCATGTGCATACATGCCCAAAGTCCTAAGGGAAGAAGAAATTAAGGAAAAAGAATTGTGGTATGACCACACCACACGGAAGTGTGTGCTTTCTCTCTCTCGCTCCCTCTCACACTCTTCCTGGAAAGCACACATGCTCACTGGCAATCAAAAAAAACTAAACTAACTAATGTAAAAGAAGGTAGAAAAGGCGTAGTAGATGAAGAAAACTAGGAGACAAAAAGAATAAAAT